CAGCCACTAGTGCTTATCTAAGCAGTTAAATAAATCTGACAGGAGATAGACATATATATAAACACCAAATAACTCTAATCAGGTGCTACTATAAACCATGTTTTCAACTCCATCTTTGAAGAAGCCGAGATATTGTTCAAAATGTAAATAAAACAACAGAAGATTTGTCAAGATGCATAAAGTAAGTGCTTTCTACGATGACAGAGCGCTCAACCATCAAGCTTCATTGATACAGTCACACACACACACATTCACTACTGCATTACACGCAGGAAGGTTCACTTCCTTTCTGGGCCTAGCTAATTTCAGTGAAAACAGAAATTGTGTTTGATATGGGTGTTGCACCCTCGACACAGAAGAAGAGAGGAACCATCTGGTTTGTTATCAGTGCATGGTTAAAAGACCGCTATCTGTCATAGCATGGGTGACTTGCATATCTGTGGAGGCACAATTAATGCTGGGAAAACCTTTTTTAGACCTACAGCAGTTGGTCTCATCAATTCCCAAATATGGCGTTGTTAACAAAAGGAGAGGTGTAATGTGGGGTAAACATGACCCTGTGCCAACATAAACATTTTTCCCACATTTGATGTGTTTTCTTTGAACTATATTCAGTAGAATTCATGTTTAATATTGTGTTGAAGTGAAGAATTACTCCGAGTTTTATTTACATCTAACACAGCATTCAAACTTTTTGGAAACAAGCTTGAATATTGACCTACCTGGAGTTTTTGTGACAGGAAAGCTAAAGAAGGAAGGGTCTGTAGGACTGCTGGTGGTAGTGGGGGGATGGAAAGGACCTCCCCCTGTTTGAGCTTGCTCTAATGGGAGAGCACTTTGGTCCCGTTGAACATCATTGGTCATTTGGTTGGTTTCAGAACTGTAATTCAGATGCACATTTGACTGGCTTTTGGGTGGTTCAGTAACGACCTGTTCAGACAAAAAAAAAAAAAAAAACAATCCAAAAAATATTCTGAGTCCTTTTTTATAAATCTTGTATAAATAGGCAGATGTAAGATTTGTTTTTTTGCCCCTACTTGAGGGGACTGGGCAGAGTCCCTGCACTGGCACTTCTTCTCCAAACGGGCAATAAACTGGCTGTGTGAACTCATCATAGAGGTGAGGGCTCCATATTTCTTCTCCAGCTCCCTGTAATCCCTGGACACCTGCAGTGCCTGAGATGTCCAACCATTCACAGTATAAGGATACATTTGACAATGATGAGTATAACATCTAGTTCCGCCGCTCTAGACTCACCTGTGCTGTCGCATTTAGCAGAAGGTTCTCCACCTTTTGCTGCTCCAAGGCCTGATCTTTCTTGTTTATAACTTCATGTAGCAGCTGAGCATAGAGCTGGCTGATGCGAGAATTCATACTGCTGCTCTCTTTGCGCAAGGCCCTTACTTCAATGGCAAGGGCCCCTTCCTGCTCCAGTTGGCTTCTTAGCTTCTCTAGTAGTTCCTGCTGTCGTTTGAGCTCTGCCCATAAGGCTGACACTTCTGAATGGTTGGTAGGAGCAGGCTGCGTGTTCAGACACAGCGCCCCAGTCAATTTCTGCTGAGGCACTATGAAGGTGTAAGAGCACCGGCCTGTTTTTGTTTCTGAAGAACGTGATGAACCTTTGTTGTCATCCTGGGATCCCTCCTTCTGTCCGCCAACTTCTGGCACGTTCACACAAAGTGTAAGAAAAAGAGGCAGAACTACTGTCAGTGCCTTCTCCATGAATCTGTAACAATCCTGAGGACACACAAAAAGCAATAGTTTCTCATCAGGTAATTAGCACTTTAATACACAGACATACACTTTGCATGTTAGTAAATAAGTATCTGGTGAATCTTGACTTTTCACCAGATGTTTCCTTACAAAGACAGAGTATGCGCATTTTCTTGAGTTTAGCAGGTCAACACAGAAGGGACAAAGGTCAACACAAACCAGTCAGAATCAACACTTCTCCATCTCAGGGTCAACAGTACAGTAAGCTCCACACCCAGATACAACAGCTATGGTCAACACCGTAACCAAGCCAAACAGACCAACACAGATGTACAGCTCTTCCACAAAACAACAACATGAGACTCATCGCATTGTGTTATGTAGCTTTCTCAGTTGCTGTGGGTAAGAATGAGACAATTTCTTCTGTCAGAGATGATAAAAAAAACATGCACCATAATGATTTAACTATGTGAAGATTAATGTAGCCATAAACAGTGCATGTGTATTCAAGTCTACCTGAAAGTAGATATAATTAAACATTGTGACCATGCATAACTTACTGTGCCAGCTGGTTAGACAGTTTTTGGTGTTTTTGTTGCAGCTCCCAGGACAAAATCGCAGAAAAGTAGACATCAAATGTTAAGACATAAACAGTGATATCAAAAAAAAATCTTCCTCTAAATCAAAAGCTGTTAATGATCTTAATAAAATGTTGAACTAAAACTGATGGCAGAAAACAAAAAGACTGATAACTACACAACTGCTGCTTTGTCTCTAGAGTTTCTGTCTCAGGCAGACAACTAATTACAAACTCCTGCCTCCCAGAACTGGTTGTTTAGCTGGGTGCAGGAATCTAGGGTGTCTCCTCCCTCTGTCATTAACCCACAACCCTGCTGTCAACTCTATCCTGCTGTAGCACCTTATCAGTGTGGCATGATTATTTTTGAAATACATTGCCTCTTTTTTCTGATGCACATTTGGCTTGTTTTCTGTGGCCTAATTTTATGAAAGCATAAAAAAGACCACTGCAGCATTAGGGCCTTATATTGGGACTCATATTCTCTAGTGTGACTTCAACAAACAGACAGTGCTGGGAATGTAGTGAAGTGATAGTAATGATACCAGTCTAGGAAAAGACTGTTGGCTCTTTATGCCACAAAGACTAGAATAAAGGCTGCACCTGTACTTCAGCCTTCTTTGTGACTGCAGTGGCGCTTCAAAAATGGTTGTATCCTGTATGTAAAGGTTTCGTCCTGTATGTAACCATGCTTATTCAGTGAGTCTGTTTTGTTGCCAAGACGGTGACTCTCAAATTAAAAGTGGATTGGTCTGCTGCTCTAAATGCCATTACAGCTCTTTATACTGCTGCAGGTGCTTGTTCGGGAAATTCTGGGTCCCATCACATTCTGTGAAAAGTAAAGCTTCACACTCATCAGCTTTTTATGATTTTCATAAATTAACCCACTAGACTGAGTGATGCTGGAGGACCAATATATATGTATATATGTATGTATGTATGTATGTATGTATGTATGTATACATACATACATACATACATACATACATACATACATACATACATATATATTGGTCCTCCAGCATCACTCAGTCTAGTGGGTTAATTGCAGCAGATTATGCACTTTGTTATAATAATAATAAGTTGTGATGGTCTGAGTTGCCTTTTACATGACAGCAGTGGCTCTGAGATAGTTCTTTGCTACTGCATCATCTTTATGGGAAAATCTGCAATACTGAAAAACAGTAAAGATAGTCACAGTCACACAGTGCTGAGGTCAAAGTGTGAACAGAAACCACACCTAAAACGCTGTCTCTATTTCTACTTTCAGATCAGCTTACAGTATTGCACTGGGTCACACCCAAGCTCTGATCACACTTTTTTTTCATTATGGTTTTCTCTATACTGCCAAAACAAATAAACACTTTTTTTCTTATGTCAGAGAGACAAAGACTTTACGCTCTCATTAACGTCATGATGCTACATTTAGAGTATTGGTTTTCTATCAAAAATTGTATAATTAAACTGTTGAACTTCAAATAAGCCAGTGTTTGCCTATAGAATGAATGTAATGAATATAGCCGTTTTCTTTGTGTGTGTGTGTGTGTGTGTGTGTGTGTGTGTGTGTGTGTGTGTGTGTGTGTGTGTGTGTGTGTGTGTGTGTGTGTGTGTGCGTGTTTGAGTTTGA